TTTTTAGGCCAGTATTGTTGGTTTTGACAGTACATCAAACACTGATGCATCAATTTCACCATGTCAAAAAAAACTAATATTCAATTCAATAGTTAAAACTCAGTTCTGATTGAGAACTCCAACACTGAGCCCATAATTTGTCACCACAATTTGTTGAGGAAAAGTAGCAGCAACTACTCACATCCAGAGCCATAATCTCCAGTCAGTATTGTTTAATTGCAGCAGATTACTGGTGGCGTTGGAAAAAAGTGGAAGATTCCTCAGTGTTTGAGTAATCGGTGAGAGACGCAGGGGAAAAATCTTGAGAAGTGCTTTTATTTTTTTGTGGTTTTCCAAACCAAATGTTGAAAAGTAATATGGCCAACGTCTGCGAGAGAGTGGATTGAGTGCATCGGTAGATCCAGGCAATCCATCGGTTATGTAAACTCTAAGGGAATTTCCACTCATCCACAGTGTTATTGTGTTTGTGTGTACAGGAAGAGAGCCACAGCAGACGAAAGCCTCAACCACCCCTGGCTGAACTCGCTCCCCCATCCCCATCCTCACCCGCACCTCCACGCTAGGTCGGCCTCCTCTTTGGACGAGCCGGAGACGAGCCAGTCGGAGTCGGAGCCCGAGAGCCCAGCTCCCTCCCCTGAGCTTGACTTGATCGGGTCGTACCTCATGTGCCCGGGCCAGGGGGAGCTGAAGACGGGCCGTGCCGCCTTCTCCTTCAGCGAGTCCCCCTTTCCCACTCGACCTGAGATACAGCAGGAGCTGATGTGCTGAATGACATTTCACAGGTGGAGAGAGACTGAAGGAATTCAAACTCCACTGAGCAGACGCTGAAAGCCAGTGAGCCTGCAGCTTCTTGGTCATTTGACTCAGGGCCATGCTATACAGATGCTGTATGCCTGCTGCTGGCTGCTTATACTGCTGTGATGTCTGTGAGCTGGGCTGTGTGTTATTTGATACCTCTGCATTTGTGTGACACATACACGCCACTCCGTGCTGATTTATGATTTCACGGAAGGAATGTGAGAGGAATGAAGACGCAGGAGAAAGAAGTGGGAGAAGACGCACACGAGGACTTTGTCGCAGGACTGCACGGCTGCCTTAAAAGTGACAGAACTGAACCGGGCTCCGCTTAACACTGTGGCTAGTTCACCCCTGCACGCACACTGGCTTCTCTTTTTACCCAATTAGCCTTTTAAACTGGGTTTCAGAGGAGAGGCAGCCTCTCGCTTCCTTGGGAAATGACTTCACTCACTGTGTGCTCTCATCAAAACAAGTTATGCTTCAGCTGACCCAGACATACCTTCTGTGGTGGGTTTTGTTGAAGGAAGTAAAGGGTTTTGACAGATGGTTTTGCTTAACAAGAATTAAAGCAAAAGGACAGCACCTATGCTGAAGCCAGACGTTAACTGTTCCACTGGTTTATATGTTTATTTATGTGTTTGTTATACCACTTCACCCCTTAAATATTCAAAGCCACATCAATGCCTGAGTTTAAGATGGAAATAGTAGCATTGGTTTTTTTTTTTAAGGACAATCTTAAGCACTTTTTTATTTTGTTCATTGGACTTCCATGTAATAGTCAGAAACCAAAGGCTCATCAAGCACAGTCAGCTCTCACACAATGTACTGTACATGTTAACCATTTTCCACCACCCACTGTTTTGGTCACATTACCTTTTTTTCACCAAGTGCCACATTTTCAACCTCACTTCTGTGTTAATATTACAGTTTTACTGTACTGTTTGTTTTGTTGGCTATTGCACAAGTTGCACAAGTTTTTTTTTTTGTACTTAACTGCGAGTTTGCCACTAGGTTTCGTGCTCTTCACATATTGTGGAAACATCAGTCTTGGAAAGAGGGAATGGCAGGGGTTGAAAGCAACAATTCGGTTTTGCTTTAGAATTGTAGTAGATGAATAATGTCATGGTCAACTGAAGGGCCCAGATTTGTATAAATATGTTTGCCTTCAGATGCTTGGGAGCAGAGAAACTGGGATTTCTTAAAGTACTGAAATGTATATTGTGAGTTAGTATTAAGATTAATCTGAAAAGATAATTGATGTGTTTTTTTTTTTACCAGTGTATGAATGTTAACATCATTATATCATGTCTTATTTTGTACGTTAACTTTTACTTATTACTGTTGTTTTCTGCTCATCAATATCAGGCAGGTTTGCACTTGTCCTTGTGGACGTTATGTTAAAATTAATAAATGTTGATGGCATGCATTGCAAAATGTAACGAAGAAAAATACATGAGCATTTTGTATAACTCGTCCGTGTGTGTGTGTGGTTGTTTCTTTTTAGTAACAATAGCATTGAAATTTAACATTCAGCTGCCCCACTTTATTTTCAAGTTAACTTATCACTTTCTAATTTTCCTCCAAAGTACAAGAGTGAAAAAATGATTGTAGATTAGTTTCAACCAAATTCAGACTTAAATATCTGCCGAACTACTGACATTCCCATCAGGCCCTGCTGTACTTCATTTAGTGCTAATAAGCAAATGTTAGCATGCTAACACGCTAAACTATAACATAAATACAGTGACATGTAGTGGTGAGATTGCAGATTGCAACCAACTAAATACCACTTGCCTCACCATTCTCTTCCAATCGTGTAGGAGAAACTACTGTGGCCGCGAAACATACGAAAAGCTCTGTCTAGAGCTAGCATTTGGTTTGTCCACTCAGGGCTACAGTAGAAACATGGCGGACTCCGTGGAAGAGGACCCACTCCCTCTGTAGATATAAAGGGCTGATTCTAAGATAACAAAATACAATGATGGACCCCTCACGTACTGGATTTTTAACATCAGCATGTTAACTCAAAGCACAGTCATGCCTTCGGCTGCCTTCACAGTGAACCTGTGAGGTTGTGGTTGCGACATGGAACCTCATGTACATTTCATGTCTTCTTGTGATTGCAGTAAACATGACCCCATCTGAAAGCAACCCTTTAGCTATCATGGCTGCAGACTCTTTGTTCACTTGCAAATGGAACACAGCAAACATCAACATGCTTTACAGAATGAAATTAGTGAGTTGCTAAGCAAATTAATGTATTGCAAACTCCTATATATGTTTTTACTTTTAAATCAAAAGTAAATTTGAAATAGTTTTTTTCATAAACTCAAATTCAAGAGTAGAAATGTTAGATAAGAACGTCTTCATGGAGCCAATATGTAATATACGTCGGTCTCACTCATTTTTCATTTCTGGCCTCAAGCAAGAACATCAGCATGTCAACATTATCAGTGAACTCTAAGAGTTCAAGTACTGTATGTAATTTAATTGTGCTCACTGACATTTAACAATGTAAAGAAAACTGATTATACTCGGATAGTGGTTTTCAAGACTTTTTTGTATTATCTTTCTATCTAACCTTTGTATCATCCCACCATATATTGTTAAACCCATTTTCTCATTGTCTCACTGTCATGCTGATGATACCTTTCAGTATTTCTGTTTGTCTCGTGTTGATGGTTCACCTGCGTGTGTAGTCAGGAAAAAAAGCAGATCTCATACCAAAACACATTACCCACGTTTGGACCAGATAACATGTGAAGCATCTGCTTTTCCCTTTAGTGTGTCTATTTAGAGAAACACAGTATCATAAAGAAAATAAAAGCCCTCTCTCGGGCCGGTTTTCCATAAATATCCAGCAGCCTCTCTGAACAGGAAATGCCAGCATCCTGTAAAGAGGAACACAGAGTAATGCTTTCCACTGTAGTAAAGTTTCTTTCTCTTTCTGTCTTCCTCTCTCTCACACATACACACTCTTATGCTTGTTTACTTGTGTCAGGTTTAGACAATATCCCTTCCTGCTAATATCCTGAATTCTTGCTTTAATGTGCTCTTCCTCTCGTGGTCGGCACTGCGCCAGTTTAGCTCTGCTGTGGCCAGTAAGGAGAAAGCGGGGCTCCCTGCAGGGTCCTGCTCCAGTGGATCTTGGCTGGACCGACCACTTCCCCTAAAGAAAATCCTGCTGCTGCTGCTGCATGGAGCTAAGGAATGCCAGAAATGTTCATAACTGGCCTCCTTCCTTTTTTCAGACCTTGTCCTTTATGCCTCTCTTCCCTCCAAGGCTCCTTATGGGGTTTGTTTTCTCAGTGGGAGGTGGTATTGTTTCCATACAACACACACACACACACACATGCACAAACACACATACTGAAGTGGTTGATTAAGTGGCTGTTTCTCAGAAGGACTCTTAGGATCAGATGATGTGACTTTGATATTTAAGGTGACCATTAGAGGATGATTTAAGGCAGATGTGGAGACTGTTTGCTGTCTCCTGACTGGAGAGTGCGCTGCAAAAATCTGGCTTTGTAGCGAAAGAGCACTTGGCTCCTGCAGATCCAAATAAATACAAAGAGTGGACAAAAAGCTTACTGTGACATCCAGATAACCTGCTCTCAACAATCTCTGTGGATTGAAACTAACTCCTGCTTAATGGGTTTTTGAAGGTTATCAGGCAACAAATACTGCTTTTAAACACCCCAGTGAGGCACATTACTCTGTATAGTCCATTTGTCTCCCTTGAGTCTGTGTAACAACAGTCAAAAAAGATAACATTAATATAACAAATATTGATTTTCCTCGCACTATACGAAACCGGTGTCTGACATCTGCTGGACTGTAAGATGTTTTTTTGCTGCAGGCACTCAGCAGGCGTTTCATCTCATGCTAACCAGCCGCACATCCTCAAGACGAGTCTGTCAGCGCCTCAAGCCATAACTCATTGATCCCTTGAGGTTTGTGAAAAACCTGAACTGGGATTTCAAAAGCTAGAAAGGCTACATTCTACACTGTATAGGTCAAAACAATCAGTTATATAACCAGAGATTGTTTGACAGCAGGGTGGAATTTGAACCGTGGCGTTCCCATCTGTGCCACTGACAGCTCAGGAACACGCTACAAAAATGGGATTGTGACTGTACTCAAATACTAGTTTATGTAAAGAACCTTTATTTCTCATAGTCAAATATTAAACATATAAATACAGTACTATTTTACAGAGCCAGATAGTACCAAACAATGGAAAATGATTGGAAATATATATGATAACTTGTAATGTAATTTTTTTTTATATGTTTTTACCTTTTCAGCCATGCTAACAGCATTACTCTAGGGATGAAAATGTCGGTCCACCACTTTGGTCCAGACTGAAATATCTAATGCTAGAAGAATAAATTATTTGACTTTTCCTTTAGCGCCACCATGAGGTTGACTTTATTTAGATTTTATTGAACTACCTTGACAACTGTTCACTGTACAGATATTCATGATACCCAGAGGACGAATCCTTAACACTTTTCCTGTAGCACCACTAACAGTCCAAAGCTTTCACTTCCATCCTGTGAAATCTACTGGATAGGTTGGCCCAAAATGCGCTACAGACATTCGTGGTTCCCAGATGATGACTCTTAATGATCTTGATGATCCTCTGACTAGCTAACATGAGGTTGACATTTGTGATTTTGAGTCAAATTTCTCAACAACTGCTTGTCCTCTTTAATTCATCTTTTGGTTAAAAGCATGTTGGGTGTTTTTTGGTACACACTGTGGTACTTTGTGTCTTGTTCTACTTTTAAGACTGTGTGTGTGGCACTTTGTAGCAAATATGTTGACCTGTTCATGATACCTGAACTGGAATCCATCTGTCTTTGTATTCTAACTAGTTACATACAGAGGTTCAGTACACATATGTACATGATTAGATGTCCCACTACTGGAGTGCCGTTGTTTCTATCTCATCCCTGCCTCCAAGAATGGCCTATTTCCATCACTAGTTATGATACGAATGAAGTGTTTTCCTCTCTCCTTCAGCCTGACCCTCTGCTCCGGTCTCTTTCTCTCTCTCTAGCTGTCATGTTTTCGCTCTCCTTGTCTGTCTCAATCTCACTATCTCTAGATCTCCTTCAGCGCAACAGTTTTCTCAGAAGTTGTTCCCTTTGCACCTTATATAATGGGGAAATTCCTTTACGCTTATGTTCCTGATTATACTGCCGTTATGGAACGAGTCCACTGATGTCAAAGGACTCAAGAAAGTGTGTGTGTGTGTGTGTGTGTGTGTGTGTGTGTCATTTTCAACTCCTCTGTCCTTTATAAATGTAGCCACATAGGCTGATGATCTCAATCACACAATGTATGGCCAAGCAAGTCATTTTCATTTCATGCCTTTTTGGCATGCTCTTTGGAATTTGCTCAGTCGACATCCTCAACACTACTTCTTCATTCCAGCGTTGACCTTTGCAAGGATCTTTAAGATCCACATAAAGCCCACAATAAATTCACAACTGCAGCCTCTTGATGCTGATAGATATCAGTGGTCTAAGTGGACCTCAAGAGGATGAAAACAAGATGCAAATCCTCACAGTTACACAGTTGGAGTCTCTAAGTCCCAATATGCTGCTGTATTTCATGCAGATAAGAACAACCATCGCAAATCAAAGCCTGGCTGAAGTTCTCCATGTTCGCTTATGAGGTGTTGATCGGGACGAACAATGGAGAACCCTTCTTTCACGTGTCACAGCAATTCTTGCGAAAGAAAAACAGAAAAAGGGGAGAATTTCCAGAAAAGGCAAAACACTCGTAACCGCTGGTAATATGTTTCTCATGGTGGTGCATTCATAGCAGCGAGGGAGGCAAATGCCTTTGGTTAAGCAGGGCTATTTATTCTGTCCCTGGAAACGGTCGAAGAACAACAAAAGCATTCTCAACAAAGAGTAGCACGACCTGATGCTGCTGCCTGTTTTCCTCTGTCTGCGGTGACTATATCCTCCCTCAACATGGGGGCACTACTGGCACACACCGTACTGAAAAAGCCACACAATAGGCACACTGAGCTCTGAGAGAACTTTTCAACTCAAAAGCTGTGCAAGGAACCCAACCAAAACAAGGGACACTGCTAAGTTAATTCTTAAAAGGTTCAATTTCAATGTGGGTAAGCTCATGGAAAGAAACAAAAACACTGCCAGTTTTGTTTTTGCAGGACGCGGTGCACACAAATGTCCAATCACATGTACTTAAAGTGCAGTTTATACACACACACACACACTTGCCAGAGTACCCACAGTGAACTCTGTCCGCTGACTCGCTACAAGCTTGGGAGGGAGTCCAGGATTTCAGACTGACAGGGAACAGATTCTGGTGGTCTGGATCTTTTCAAGCTTTTGATTTTCAACCCGCAGCGCTCTCCTTGTTTACTATGGTACTGGATTAGGGAGTTATTTGGAGCACACACATAGTACACACACGCACACACGCAAG